ATTTCTAAAGACCCATTTAGTACCGATAACTAAATGGTCATTTGGCCTAGGAACAAGCTTCCATACCTCATTTCTCTAGAATTGATTCAACTCTTCTTGCATTGCGATAACCCATGAATCATCTTTCAAGGCCTCGTCAATGTATTTTGGTTCCATTTGAGAGAGAAAAGCGACGTTGGCACAAAAATTCTTACAAGAAGAATGAGTTTAAATCCCTTTTGATGTGTCTCATATGATTAGCTCCTTAGGATGAGCATCTATATACTTTCATTCCTTGGGTAAGGATGTTTCGGAAGAAGATACATCCAAGTTGCTAGATGTAGAAGGGGTTTCATTTAAATTCAAAGCATCAAAATTAACATCATTATCAAAATTATTTTTCTTGACTTCGGAAACTTCATTGAAAACAACATGAATAGACTCTTCTATAATTAAAGTTCTTTTGTTAAAGATACGAAATGCTTTAGAAATAGAAGAATAGCCAAGAAAAATTTCTTCATCGGATTTAGCATCAAATTTTCCTAAGGCATCTTTTTCATTCAAGATAAAAAACTTACACCCAAAAACTTTAAAATATGAAACATTGGGTTTTTTATTGTTCTACAACTCATAAGGAGTTTTGGCGAGTAAGGGTCTTACTAGAACTCTATTCATGACATAGCATGCCGTATTTACGACTTCGGCCCAAAAATATTTGGGTAGGCTATGTTCATTCAACATGGTTCTAGCCATTTCTTGTATGTTTATATTCTTTCTTTCTACTACTCCATTTTGTTGAGGATTTCTTGGAGTAGAGAAGTTGTAGTTGTATCCATTAGATTCACAAAATTCTTAGAAATCACGGTTTTGAAATTCACCATCGTGATCACTTCGAATTGGCGAAATCATAAAACCTTTTTCGTTTTGAACAAGTTTACAAAACTTAGAGAAACACCTAAAGCAATCACTTTTGTATGCCAAAAAGTAAGTCCATGTGTATCTACTATAATCATCCATGATGACAAATGCGTATTTGCTTCCTCCTAGGCTTGATGTAGCAATTGGTCCGATAAGTCCATATGGATTAATTGCAATGGCCTAGAGGTGCTTATTTGGTTCTTTGGTTTGAAACTACTTTTTATTTGCTTTCCTAGTTGACATGCATCATATACATTGTCTTTGACGAACTTAATGTGAGAAATTTCTCACAAGTTCTTTAGATGAAATTTGAAAGATTAGTTTCATGCTTGCATAACCTAATCTCCTATGCCAAAGCCAAGCATCGTCATTCAAAATCGAAAAATACATTTCATTATAAAGATCATTAATGTCGATAGTGTATACATTATTTTATTTTAGAGCAATCATAGATGTGTTTTTGAATGGTTTTCAATAATGCAAGCATTGGATTCAAATCTAATAATGTATCCTTTATCACATAATTGACTAATGCTCAAAAGGTTATGCTTTAAGCCATCAACTAACAACATATCTTCAATAGAAAAGGTGGATTTGTTACCTATGGATCCTTTGCTAATGATTTTACCCTTGTTGTTTGTTGTCTCCGAATGTGACATATCCTTCGTCTATGCTAGTGAGCTTAGAGAATTGAGATGGATCTCCGGTCATATGCCTTGAGCATCCACTATCAAGGTACCATCTCTTGCTCCTAGCTTGTGATGGTAAACGTTTCTACAAAAAAGGATGATTTTTAGGTATCCATTTGACCTTGGGTGTCTCAAAAATCGATCTACATAGCTTATCATGTTGTATTGAGTCATTTGAGGTTCTTTTAGGAACCCAAATCAATTTGTGTGGATTACATTTCTTAAATGGACAATGATAAGCTACATGCCCAAATTTGCAACAAAAGTTGCATTTCTTTCGGGGTGAAACATGCAAAGTAGGGTCTTTAACAAAGGTGGTTGGATTTTGGTGAGAGCTATTCGCAAATCTGATTCCACCTTTTCTATGAACGTGACCCTTGTTGGCAAGGATCATGTTTAAGGATTTGCTACCAATCTCAAACTTTTCTAAGGTTTTCTTAAGTAGCAAGTTTTCTTTTTGAAGTAAAATTATTCATCACATTTCGTACAAGAAGCTAAACTATCATTGTGCTCAACTTTTAATCTATTGTAATCACTAACAAGAGAATCATGCTCCCTTTTTAACAATTTATATTTTTTATTAATTAATTTGCATTCATCAAATAAATTATGAAAAGCATTTAAAAGTTCATCAAACGATAAATTTGCATCAAATGAACTTATTACCTCATCTCCAATAGCCATTAGCGCATAGTGAGCAACTTGCTCGGTGTTGGTTGGCTCCTCTTCTTCGGATGAACTTGAGTCGTCCCATGTTGCTTTAAGAGCCTTCTTCTTTGGTTGCCTCTTTTTTGGCTAGGGGACATTCGCTCTTGTAATGTCTCGACTTCTTGCATTCGTAGTATATTACTTGATCTTTCTTGGGTTCAAATTTATTTTTTGTGTCATTTTTAAATTTGTTCATTTTTATGAATTTTTTGAATTTCCTTATTAAGAGTGTCAAGTCTTCATCAAGGTCCTCATCACTTGAGTTTTCTTTCAAGTGATCTTCTTGGGTTTTTAGTGTCATATCCTTCCTGTTCTTTGGAAGGGTGTCCTCAAGCTCTTCATGAGCTTTTCAAGTCATTTCATAGGTCATTAGTAACCTAATTAGTTCTTCAAGAGGAAAATTATTTAGGTCTTTGACCTCTTGAATGACCATGACTTTAGGGTCTCAACTCTTTGGAAGGGATCTTAAAATTTTATTAACAATTTCAAAATCCGAGAAACCTTTACCAAGTCCTTTTAGACCATTGACGACATCCGTAAATCGGGTGTACATGTCTCCAATGGTCTCACTCGGTTTCATTCGAAACAATTCATAAGTATGCACTAAAAGATTAATTTTTGACTCCTTCACTCTACTAGTACCTTTATGAGTCACTTCGAGTGTGTGCCAAATATCAAAAACAGTTTCACAAATGAACACACGATTAAACTCGTTTTTATCTAAGGCACAAAACAAGACATTCATAGCTTTTGCGTTTAAAGTGAAAGTCTTCTTCTCCAACTCATTCCAATCATTCATTGGAAGAGAAGACTTTTGAAACTCATTTTCTACAATATTCCATAATTCAAAATCCATTGAAATTACGAAGATCTACATTCTAGTCTTCCAATATGTGTAATCCGTCCCATTGAACATGGGCGAACGTGTAATTGAATGACCCTCTAGGTTGCCGGTAAATGCCATCTCTCTTGGGTTTAAAACCAAATGAGAGTGAACCTAGCTCTGGTACCAACTGTTAGGATCAAGAGCGGCACTAAGAGGGGGGGTGAATTAGTGCAGCGGAAAACTTTCGCGATTTCAGAAAAAATATTCGTTTCAATTAAAATCGATTCCGACGAAAATGGTTTCGATTCAATTTGTTTCGGAGAGAAGTTGAACTTGAAAGCTTTCGTAAAAGTGCAAGAGAAGATTAAGGAGGTTTGCAGTAATGTAAATTGCATAAATGAAAAGCAAACTAGAATTTAGAGTGGTTCGGTCAATGTGACCTATATCCACTTTCGGATTCCTCCTCCGACAAGGTCACCGGCGTCCACTAAAGGCCTTCCTTCAATAGGTGAAGACCGAACACCTCTTTACAGTGCTTTTTCCTTTTCCTGAGTTTAAGAGATAACCCTTACAAGGCTCACTCCTCTTTCTTGGATGGTTACAAGGCTAAGAGATGAAGGAGGAGAACTCTTTCTAACTTATACAACACTTATAAGACTCAAGAATTCAAGATAAGCCAATACTTTCGTGCCCTTTCATGTAGAAATGGATGGGGTTTTTATAAACCCCAATGGCTTCAAAATTGGAGCCAAAAAGTGTCACATCACCGGAATCCGGGATACTAGCGGTACCACCGCCGTTTCTAGGCGGTACTACCGTCGCTGATCAGACACTGGGCGGCACCATCGCCTAGAAATCCTAGAGCACTGCTTTCCAGGCGGTGCCACCGCCGGCCATGTTTTTAAGGGCTGAATTGGCAGCTCAATTCGGCCCAATTCAACCCTGTTAAGGGCCTAGTTGGCCCTTAATTAAGTTAGTGGGATTACCTCCCAATCCTAACTTAATTTATCCTCTAACTACGATAACTAAGACACAATTACAACGCTTCTTGTTCCGGTACATCAATTGCTCTTCCGGCGTACTTCCGGCGAGCTTCCGACGTACTTCCGGTGAACATCCGACGAACTCTCGACAATATTCCAGCGGACTCCCGGCAAGCTCCTCAACTTTACGACGATCTTCTTGGTGAGTTCCGACGAGCTTCTTTGGCAAGCTCCTAGACTTCTCGGTTGGTTCCGGCAGAACTTCCGACGAACGTCCGGACTTTCAACGAACTCTGGAACTCCCAATGAGATCTTGATCTTGACTCCAGTATAACACCTGCTTTATGTCTTACTGCTATCGTAGTTAATCCTGTACACATTTCTCAACATATAGATTAGATCAAACAAATTACAATTGATTTCATCATCAAAATCCGAGATTCAACAATCTCATCTTATCCAAAACAAGTTGCTACTGCTTTTATTTATATGCACTCGTGTACGTCTTAGAAGTCAACTTCATAGAAAAGACTACATGTGCATGAGATTTCTAGCCACACTAAATCTTAAAATTACAGTTTTATTCATACAAACATAAAGGATATTTTTATAATACCATTTAAAATACATAAAACAAGTGATATATGGCATTTCATCTATTCCATACAAGATTCTACTGCTCTTTATCTACGTTTGTTCATGCACAAATGCTATATATCTTAAAGTCCATTAATATGAAGTCTAGAAAGGATGAATATGACACAGATTTCTCACTGTATACAAAGGGGATATTTTCATGAGATTACTTAAATACACTATCAAGTGGCATATGACCAATCACTTGAGCTTCTCAACCAAGCATTATGAAAAGGTTAAAAAAATTCATATAAAATTTACCTTTCCGTTGTATGTTTGATCTTCCTTTTGGTGATTCTTTAGAACTAAGATCCATGCAACGACAACTGCAAGCAAATACAAAGAATGAAATCAACTCTGCTGCTAGTTGTTGCTAGATGTCATACCAGTATCGTGCTTCTGCTTAAGGTGTGATATCTAAAACTAGTTCTCTAATCCTTAATTGCATATTCTCCAATTTCATTTCCATGTTAATCCTTGCATGAATCTCTCCTAGGTGCACCCTGGTTCAACACTGCTTCCCAATACACTTGTCTCAATCATGCCACAGCAATCAAGTTCAAACAAATCCTGCTCTCCATTAGTCTCGACATGTTGTCTGCTTTATGGAAGGCATAGAGAAACCTTCGTCAAACATTCATAGAGAAAGTTTAGATGTATAAAAATTAAAGAAACATATAACAGCATGCAAACACTAAATAACTGAATCATGAATCCAGAAAGCTAGCATAGACAGGCAATTAGTTGAGAAAATACCTTTTATCCTTTCAAATAAAAATCATACCAATGCTTTTACAGGACAATTTAGGATATTTTCAACTCAACAGATGATTCTACTAGGGACCTTATTACAGGTTCTTGCACCACACATTGAACCAAGAATCATGGCATCTCTGTTAGCTTTTTATGCATAATTAAGTGGTCAAATCTTGTTGTAAATATCTAGAGCACTTAGATATAGAAAGGAAACCTTGAAAAAAAAAAGCCTGAGGCAGCAAGCTTGGCCTCCAACTCCAAGTAAAGCCTTTGTAACCTTCAAATATCAGACAGACCCAGTTTGATGCCAATCTTGTTTTTTTCATGAGGTTGATCACTTGTTTCAGTGTTCTTACCAAACAATCCTGTATTCATAGTCTCAGTTAATATTATTAAAAAAAACTTAAATAAAAAAACTATCCTGTGCATGTCGGAGTTGGAAGCTTCATCTCATTTAAACCAAAGAATGTAATGGGTGTTCTGCCATCTATGTCTAGATAAGGCACTTACCAGATGGATATATGTAACCAGCTTCCTTGTGTCAAAAATGAGACCACTTCCATGTGTCATTGCAACTTGGGCAATAACACCAGAAGGGCACAAAAATTACTTAGCTAGCATCACCCTCTACACAGCTCCATCCAGGAATCTTTTTCAAACCTCCAACTCTCATCACCTTCCTCAACTTCGTAACATCTTTCTATCTTCCCAATTCTGCATACATATTGTATAGAACAACATAAATACCCAGATGGATATATGTAACCGGCTTACTTGTGTCAAACATGAGACCACTTCCACATGTAGTTGCAACTTGGGCAATAACACCAGATGGGTACAAAAATTACTTAGCTAACATCACCCTCTACACAGCTCCATCCAGGAATCTTTTTCAAACCTCCAACCCTCATCACTTTCCTCAACCTCGTAACATCTTTCCATCTTCCCACCTCTGCATACACATTGGACAGAACAACATAAACACCATGGTTTCCAGGATCCAATCTAAGCATTTCATTGACCACCCTCTCTGCAATGTCGATGTTCCCATGGTTCTTGCAGGCGGTCAGCAAAGCTCCTAGAACGACCACATCAGCCCCCCATTTCATTCCTTTAATTAAACGCTCAGCCTCTAATAGATTCCCGCACCGGCCAAGAAGATCAACCATGCACCCATAGTGCTCCACCTTTGGCTCAATCTTGTAGGTCCTTTCCATGGAATAAAAAATCTGGCGCCCTAGTTTGAGAAAGCCAGCATGGCAACAAGCTGACAGGACACCTACAAAAGTTACATCGTTTGGTTGGACCTGCTCCCTCTCCAACTGGTGGAACAGATCAAGAGCTGCATTGGCAAGGCCATGATGAGCCAAACCACAGATCACAGCGTTCCATGTCACTGTGTTCTTCTCTGGCATTTGCCTGAACAGCTCAAGTGCGGCTGTGATCGCACCATTCTTAGCATACATATCCACTAAAGCAGTGCCGAGAATGACTCCCACTTCTATTCCCTTCTCCCTTATAAACGAATGAATCTGCTGCCCCAAGTCCAACCCACCAGATCTAGCACAAGCCGACAGCACGGAAGCCAGAGTGGCATTGCATGGTTCGACACCCGCTCCGATCATCCGGTCAAAAAGTAAGAGAGCTTCATTGGAGCAAAAATTCTGCGCATAAGAGCTTATCATCGTGGTCCAGACGATTAGATTCTTTTCGCGCAATCCATCGAACAGCCTCCGGGCATCCCCGAGATGACCATGAACACCGTAACAGCGGACCAAGCCATTGACGACATAGGGGTCCACATGGAACCCGCGCTTGAGGACATGAGCGTGGACCTGCCGCGCGATGGAGGGGGAGGGGAGACAAGCGCAGGCCTTCAGGAGGAAAGGAAAGGTGTGCTTGCCGGAAGGGGTGCCAACCTGCAGCATCTCAGAGAAGAGGGCCACGGCAGTGGCGGGAGAGGGGGAAGCGGCGAGGGCGCGGATGAGGGTGTTCCACATGAAGGAGTTGGGGAGGGGGGTGGCGCGGAAGAGGCGGAGGGCGTGGGGAAGGTCGCCGGACGGGGAGAGGGCAGCGAAGGAAAGGAGGCGGCTTGCGGCGTAGTTGTCGGCAATGCGGGCGGAGACGATCATTTGGGCATGCACCTGTTTGAGCTGACGCATGGAAGCGCAGCGGTCGGCCAGGAGGGAGAGCGGCGGCCGTCGGGTGCGCTCGTGGAAAGTAGGAGGAGGATGCAGGGAGTGCAACGGCCATCGGAAGCGGGGAATCCTTCGTGGCATGTCCTTGGGGTGACGAAGGATTGTTGACCTTCGTATAAGCGCTTATATGACATATAACATTTATTGATACACTTAATATTATAAGAGGAATATCAAAATTTGATAAGAGAAATATCAAGAATTTAATATATAGTAAAAATAGATATATCTAAAGCATTGGATTTCTTGAATAAGAGAACCGGATGACTCAAAATATTTTTCTTAACTATTTAGGCCAAATAAAGATAAATATTAATTTTGAATTAAAACATGGAAAAAAATTTAAAAAAAAACTACTGATTTTTTTTTCACATAGTGTCCCTACTTAAAAAATATTTAAATAGTACTTTTATTTAAAAAAAAGATAATATTAATCTTAAAAAAATCACTTGGGTACATAAAATTAAACCAAAAAAAATTGATTTAACTTGAACCGATGCTTTTTACCATACATTGTATATCCCTATTTCAAATTTACAATTCGATGTGACTTGTATTGTGTGACCTTTCATCTTCGATTGTCTCCCTACTCCATCGTTGTTGTTATAGTATATTTCATAGCCTCCCAGCGTCGTCAACATCATGTGTCATTATGCTTAGGATCAAGTACAATTGCCTACAAGCATCGAATTTTGTCGTCGGTTATATCAACTTCTTTGAGCTTTTATTATGTTGCTGTTATAAAGAGGATTCTAGAGTTCGAGCGATTTTTGCTTCTAGAGTTCCAAAACTACAGCGACAACAAACGTTACTTGCGATAGAGTTATGATGGTTCTTTAAGGTATGTTTTGATTTCTATAAAAATATTTGCTAAGAAATATGAACTTTTGGTTTATTGTGTAGCTAAGGTTTTAGTTCCACTGATGTTTACTATGTTATGAAATCTTATTATTTTATTATCAATATTTTGAGCATTCTTCATAAAATAGATTTACTGTTTAAAATGATCTCAAATTTTTGAAAAAAACTTTAAGTACGACACTTATGATAACAGAGAGATTTTCTGTGATAAAAGAGAAATTTTCTTAACTGCTTAGCAGATGAGATTTCCTCAACTGCATGAGGAAATCTCTCTGCTCAGTTAAAGAAATATCCTCTTTCACTATGTATAAATAGACTTCACATAATACTTGCCTTTTTGTTTTATCCTTATAATTTCATTCTTCATTCTCTCATTCTATCAACTTATAGATATATGTCACTAGGTTTTCATTTTAGAGAATTTTTTTAAATTTTTTTGTATTTTTGAGCATATGAATAGTGTGTTAGTTTTCTATTTTCTTCTTATGTTTTCTAGTTAGATTATTTTTTTATTAAATTATTAACTCTAATCCATTTTAGCTTTAAATAGAAAATATTCATGTCATCAAACACTTATTATACACATAGAATGTCCAATGTTGATTTAAGCATAGGTATGCTTGCATTTATATTAATTCCTATTTAATTTTTGTTTAATTATCATAAATAACTTTTAAAATTTATCTTTGCAATTTGTAATTGTGGATTGGGTCATTCGGATGATGAAGAGGGTTTGAAAAGTCATTTTAGTTGGATAGTTTCAGGACGAGCTTTGTGATCATTTTTGTCATTTCCTTTTGGAACCTTCTAAGCATTTGTGAACAAAATTAGTCTCATTATTACCAAGGTAGTGTCGTTGGAATATCATAAAGAGTACTATATTTGGTTATTTCATAGATATCTATGATATCTCGCAGATTAATATAAGCAATTATAGAACAATGATATGAGAACGATAAGTTTCTAGTGAATGAAATTTAATTATCTTTTTCTGTGTCTATGTATATCTTCTACTCAATCTACAAAATACTAAAGAACTAATTGATATGAATGTATATAGATTATCTTACATATAAGTATTTTTTATTTAAAGAATCATTTTGTAAGAATTTAAAAATATTAATGATAAATTTGTGATAATGAGAAAACAATGAAGAACTTTTGTCGAATATGTGTTATATGTTTTTGCCAATATATTATTTTGTCAAACCAATTACATATTTCAATGGTCCGACGATTTAAAAATTTTGAATAAGTATAATTGGCTAGCAACAATTCATTCATTTATTTATCAAAGGATGGATTGGTGTAATGGGAGAGAGAATGTGAAGATTGAATTTTGATAATGAAACCAATTGATAAATATTTATGATTTGATCTTTGTTTTTTAGTGACATAGGATGCTTTGATCAAGGAGAGACAATTAAAGCAGGAAAAATCATGTTGCGTTAGAGGAAAACATATTAGAAGATTAGACGTTGGGCCGGAGGATCGGTCGATATATCGATAGAAGGCTTCGGGCCATAGATTTGTGCATCGGGCCAAGAAAAGGGAATATTGCGTCAAGGATATCAGAGTTACGGAGGTCAAATGGCCGATTGAGCAATAGGCCGTAAGAGAGGACGATACGCCGAAGAATCGAACGAAGCGTCGATAGGACCAATGACATGCCGGATGACATGATTCATGCTTAGTAATAATTGTCTAGATCGAAGTGTGTTTTTATCTGTGCAGGATTAACTACGATATCAAGGCATAAAGAAAAATGAAGTTCTGGAGTCACAAACGCGATTTTGTTGGGAGTTCGAGAGTTCGTCAAAAGTTCGGACATTCATTGGAAGTTCTGCCAGAACCAACTGAGAAGTCCTAGAGCTTGCCAAAGAAACTCATTAGAACTCGCCAAGAAGATCATCGTGAAGTCAAGGAGCTTGCTGGGTTTCCATCGGAACATTACCGAGAGATCATTGGAAGTTCACCGGAAGATTGCCGGAAGCTCTTCGGAAGAAACCGGACTTATCTTGCTTAGAATATATCTTAAGAATCATAATTAGCATATAATTAGAGTTGGGATTGGGAGGTAATCCCATCAACTCTGTTAGGGGCCAACTAGGCCCAAAGTTGGGCTGGTTTGGGTCGGATTCAAGGCCCAACCAAGGTGCTGAAAGCCTGACCAGTGGTGGCACCGCCTAGGGAATAGCACCCCAAGAATTCTAGGCGATGGTACTGCCGGCAGTGAATGCTGTCAGTGGTGGTACCACCCCTGTCAGGCGGTGGTATCACCTAGTGTCAGACTGACACTAGCGGTGGTACCGCCCAGCATAGGCGATGGTACCGCCCATACCCAGGAAACCCGGGATGAGATGTTTTTAGGCTCCAAGTTGCCTATAAATACCCCTCTCATCCCTGGTTAAATTACATACAACTGAGAGCAAAAAAGGAATGAAAACTCTATTTCAATTGTGTGTGAACTCCTCTCAAAGTTCTAAGTGTTAAAATAGTTTGAGAGAGGAGTAAGTGGGGGGTGTAAGGGTTATCTCCTAAACCCAGTAAAAGGAGAATCAAGTTGTAAAATGTGGTTGGTATTCGTCTATTGAAGGATGACGGATAGTGGATGCCAGTGGCCTCGACGGAAGAGGAATCGACGGAGTGGATGTACGTCACGATGATTGAACCACTATAAAAATCTGGTTTGCATTTCGTCTTGAGAAATTTACTTTAACGACAAACCACTTTACTTGATTACTGCTTTCAATATATTTATGAATGTGTTTCAAGTTAAGATCTATACGAAACGGTTTTCGTCAGAATCGGTTTTAATCGAAACGAAACGATTTAAATATGATGTTTTTACCATTGCACTAATTCACCCACCCCTCTTAGTGTCGACTCGTTCCTAATAGTTGGTATTAGAGCATCGTTTTTCTTATTTGGTTTAACGCCCAAATAGAAATGACTCTTTTCGAATTTCAAAAGGGACTTTCTCTCGTTCGTTTGGATTTAAATTTATGGAGTATTATGGAAAACGGTTTTCGAAGGTCTTCTCTTCCAATGAACCATTGGAATGATTTGGAGAATAATACTTTTTCCTTAAATGCTAGAGCTATGAACACTCTATTTTGTGCTTTGGATAAAACTGAGTTTAATCAGGTTTCTACTTACGAAACGACTTTCGAAATATGGCACACTCTCGAAATCACACACGAAGGCACGAGTAGAGTAAAATATTCTAAAGTCAATCTTTTAATGCACGATTTTGAACTATTTCATATGAAACTAAGCAAAACCATTGGAGACCTATACACCCGTTTTACAAATGTCGTCAATGGTATAAAAGCACTTGGTAGATGTTTTTCGGATTTTGAACTTATAAACAAAATTTTACGTTCTTTTAATAAGAGTTGGGATTTGAAAGTAATCGCAATACAAGAGGCAAAAGACCTTAATAATTTTTCACTTGAAGAACTTTTTAGTTCATTGATTACATATGAAATGACATACAATGCATAAAACGAACTTGAGAACAACTTTCCAAAGAACAGGAAGGATTTAGCACTTCGAACAAAAGAAGACCATTCAAGCATAAGCTCAAGTGATGGTGAACTTGAACTCCTCATGAAAATTTTGAAACAAGAATCGAAACTAAAAATGAACTTAAAAAGAAGAAGAAGACAACTTTGGACGAATCGAGTTTATCCGAAGACGAAGAGAAAATCAACAAAGGCGAGGTGGCAAATTGCACCTTAACGGCATTTGGCAATGAGGTAAACAACTCAAACGAAACCTCTTTAATTTATTTTGAAATTACATAATGCTTTTTATGAGTTGTTCTTAAATTAGTTTAGAATTTTTTTTTGAATTACATATTTAATAAAAATATAAAAATAAATATTTGTATCATGCTTGATGATTTTTATGCATGAGGATTTGAAGTAATGATTTGAAATCATATGTTTTGAAATTATGTGTTACACTTTTTGATCTTGATGATTTTTGTGATAAATCTTAAACCTTTGTTTTAAACATTGATGTATGTTTTTATTCGGTATAAATGAAAAAGGTATGCTTCTATGAAATCAATCTTATGAATTGAATCACTAAAAAGAAGAGTGTTCTCTTGAAAAATTTCTTTTTCAAGAGATTGATAAATCTATTTATATTATTTTGAATATCTTGAAAGTGATTTTGATAATTTTAATTTGAATAAATTTTTTTATTCAAATCATAATCTAGATTCCTT